CTCCTGGTGCCTCAGCATGCTCTCCACTTTTACCTTCTCCTTCTCCAGCTGGGTGGTGGTGGCGCTCAGCTCCTGGCCCAGGCTCTCCTGCTGGCCGGTGAGCAGCTGCACCTTCTCCTCCAGCTCCAGCACTCGGCTCCTGGCCACCATCGTGGTCCTCATCTCCTCCAGCAAGGTTGTCTTGGTCACCTCTGGGGAGACACAGCACCTTTGGCCCAGGCTCAGCAGGAGGGGGAGAAGCTCCCAGATAAGGTGGCTTGAAGGGGCCCCACACCCTCCACAGGCCCTGGCGAGGGGGAAGCAGCTCTGACGGGAGGGCTGCGACCCCCTGAATCTCCACCAGCACGAGCCCACTCTGGTGCTGGGCGATGTTTCGGCACTGCAGCGATGGAGGCTCATCCTTCCCCCCATTCCCACCAGCGCTACACCCGACCGATTCTGGGGGAGCCGGGAGTTACATGGGTGTAAAACACTCGTGAGATCGGAGCGAGGCTGGGGGAGAGATGTGCCAGCTGGGTGAGCCCCAGGGGTCCTTACCCAGCTCCTGCACAGCAGCCTGCTTCGCAGCCAGCTCCTCCTTTAAGGCAGAGAGTCGCTCTTCCAGCAGAGCAGCTCCTAAATCAGCACAAAAACTCTACTAATTAAACAGCTCCTCAAAGAAACTAAAACAAGGAGGCAGCAAACAGCCACGCCAAAGCATTTTTCATCCAGTGATTGTATCGTGCTGTGCTTCAGCAGGGAGGAGGCAGTGAGAGGATGTGGACAACCAGCTCCCGCTGTCTGGGGTTAGTCTCACAGCGGGGAACAGCCCCGGCGCCTACCAAAATGAGCGGCAAAAGCCCTACTCATGGTGGTGGGACCAAGATTTGACCACGGACTGCATGATTCTCCTGCAAATACCCACGGGCCTGGGAGGGGATGCTGGGAACAGCACTGTACCTCTCCGTAGGTCGTCCTTGTCCCGCTCCAGCCTGGCTACAGCCTCTAAATACTCTTTGTTCTTTACTTCCAGGTTCTGCTCAGCCTCCTTCTTCTGCTGCGCTTGGGCCTCCTTCTCCGCCTGAAGCAACCGGGAAAAGTCCCCAACCTGTTTCCGCAGCTTGTCCTTCTGTTTCTCCGACTCTTCCAGCTGAGACTTCAGAGGGTTGACCTGCTGCAGCAGCATCTGGAGGTGTTTGCTGATCCGGGAGAGGTCCTTGCTCTGCTCCGAGGCCCAGTAGCTCATGTCTGTTGCAGAGAGGGTCCTTCTCCCTGTGCTCTCCTCCACCATCTCCTGGAACCTGCTCAGAGCTGAGGGGATGTTCTGGCTCTGGCAGATGCTGGTGATGGCTTTGCCGACCTCGTGGAGGCTGGTCTGGGCACTGGCGCAGGTGTCGCAGGGCCCCAGAGGTGACCCAGTTGTCTGCGGGGGGATGCTGCGGCTGCTCTCAGCCGTGCTGCAGGCAGCCCTGGGCAGGGAGCTGCCCGAGGCGCCGCCGTCTGGTACACGGACACGCAGTGACGGGCACAGAGAAGTGGACTGGGCAACTTCTGTGGAAGTTCTTAACTCCAAAATGTCAGGCAAGCAGTGTTTTGGGCGCTCCTTCTCAGGTTTTCTAGCCCGGGAAGTGGGTTGCAGTGTGGGGATCTCCTTCCTGCAAGCCTTCTTCTGGTAGAGAGAGCACAGAACAAGAACAGGGCCCAGATCAAACAGTGGGCTGCGAATGATCCATAAGAGCCCAAATACAGGGGTGTGAAGCGTGGGGACAGGGCATTAGTGCAGCCAAGGGGCTACGAGGGCAGCGAGCCCTTCTCTTGGGAGGAGAGAAGTTCCCAGAGGTTGGAGGAGGACAGCTACCAAGCGCTCGGGTTCCCTGTTTACTGTGCTGCATTACAACCAAAGCACACAGCTAACAAGCAGAACGAATCTGCTTCCCACCCCCTGATGCGGGGTACGGGGGAATTGAATTTTTATAAGCTGCCAGGCAGCTTTCCAGCCACCACTACCGGAGCTGTGGTTTCATGACAGAAAGCCTTGGCAGTGAAACCTGCTCCCCAGTTCCCCTTCTTGTGACCATCCCTTCCTTCCCACCTCCCGCACTGCCTCCTGGTTATGCCAGATGAATTATTGTGAGACTTTGTCACGAAAGGGATCATTTTTGGGGAGGAAAAAAAAAAAAAAGGCAGGGGAGGGGTGTAGTGTTTTTACCACAAATTATTTCACTGATTTGAGCCAGCTCAGCCCCACAAACAGCAGGGTCAGCAGAGCTGCAGGGGCAGCGTGTTGGCAGGAGGAGAATATTTCTCCGAGCAATAAAGGCAGCCAAGCTCCCCCATCCTGAGATCCTGGTGGATGCCTGCAGGAGGATGGATCCAGCGGCACAGCTGGGAGCGGTGGTTAGAGGAGGGAAGGGACTCAGGCCGGGAGGGGACAGCGTGGGACAGATGTGTCCTGTCCAACACACGGGCCAGCGCTCGGAGGGTCATGAGCCAGGAGTACAACAGGCATGGCCACTGCAGGTGTCACGGGGCGTCCCCAAGAAGGACCGTGACCTCAGCACGGTCCAAATCATGGGGGCGGTGACGCAAGGGCCATTTCTGTGACCCCTGCACTCAGCTTGTGGGGCGTCAGGGCACCCAAATGTCCCACCTCGGCCAGGAGCTGCTGGTAGAAGGCCCCCAGTTTCAGCATGCTGCCCCAGTACCTCCTCGCCGTCAGCCCCGCGGACATGCAGGGTCCCACTGCCCGCGCCGGGGGGATGGCTCGCTCGCTGAGCAGGTTTTCTGCATAGCCCGTGAAGCTCTGAAGCAGCAGCAGCAGTCTTCTTCATCAGAAACAAAATACAGCTTAGAGCAACAGAGCATTTGTAACAGGGAAAGCACAGCGTGCCTGAAGGGCCAGTGCTGAGGCAAGGGAGGCTGTGCCCCCTCCCCATCCCCCAGACAAAACGAGTTTGGCAAAGGAGGGTGGTTATCAGTGCTCCTGTGAATCACCCCCCAGGCCTGAATCACTCCACCGAGCAGTATTTGGTGGCACGAAAATCCTCCTGCAGCCGCCGGGACGCAGGCTGCGCACGCTGCTTGCAGCCAGCCACTTCCAAGAGGCTGCAGTTAAGCTCTCCCAAAAGATTTGGGGCACCCACACTGCCAATATTAAACCTTAGTTGTTCGGTCCTACAGCTCTGTGGGAATGGCTCATCTTTTAAAATGGAGTCATATTTCACCCAGATGGCAAAATTGCTCCCAGGCCTGTAGATGCAGCTGTGTCTGAGTGTTTCCAAGGTTTCGGGGGGCAATTTGATGAGCCTGCCCCCATCTGCCCAGCTGCCCTCAGCCCCCAGGTGGAGCCGTGGCTTTCTCTGCTCTTTCACGGCCAACATTGGTGCCGGTGGCTCTGTGCAGGGAAAGGAGTTGGGTTTCAAAACTCAGCGTAGAGCTGCAGAGCGTGAGGCCGAGCTGCTGAGGTGCCAGCACACTGCTCATCGTGGAAACGGGTGGGGAAAAAAGAATCCAAAACACTTGGCCGCATTCGACAGGCTGGACACGCAACCGTCCCCTTCCCTCCGGGGGGAAGGAGCCGCTCTGCCAGCCAAGCTTCTTTTAAGAGGGGTGGTTGGGGCTGGCTTTGCCCTCTCACCTGTCGATCATCAGCTCCAGCAGCACCACGTGGGAGTGCTGGGTGAATTCGGGGTCGTTCTCGGCGTAGCCGTACCGCTCCAGCAGCGCCGCCAGGTCCAGGTCGCAGGACACTTTATCGGGGAACTTCCAGGAGGGGAAACGCACGACCCCAGCCCGGGAGGAGACGTCGGCGATGGCTGCCTGCAGGTCCCGCAGGTCGGCCCGCAGGCTCTCCATGCAGCCGGGGTGGCCCAGGAGGTGCGCCATGCCGCTGAGGTGCCTGGAGCAGGCCTGTGGGCGATGGCCTGCGACAGGGCCACCGGGCCTGGGACGGGGGGACAGC